TTTTTTTTTTTTTTAAATTGTTCTTTTTGTTTTTTTTGACGTGTGTAAATGACGGACATTTTTGATGATGACTGTTAGGTTTTTAGTGGCTGTTTCGGTGTCAAAAAATTCCTTTCATCGAACAGACAATGATAAAGCAAAATTCTTATATAATTAAGCAGTAAAGGTGAATACAAATATCTCTCTTCAGTTCTGATAAATAGAAGAGTACGACGAGACAGTCAATAAGATTCAAAAATTAATTCAAAAGCGAAAAAAACTGACTTAGAAATTCGAAGAAGAGACCTTCTTTATTGTATAGATCGAATTACACTTCGTTTCCCTCAGTCAACAATTCGAACTGAACAGATTTCCATCTATTAATTGTGCTGAAGCTTTTATATATCAAGGCTTTGTCTTGAGGTTTCTCCTTTGTGAAGTGTCTTAAAACAAAGTTTTTAATAACAGTGTGATAAAATGAGCTTGTTCAAGTCAATCAGCTTAACTCATAAAACTGATGAGGAAATGCAACAGGACTTTAAGCAGCTATGCAACAGGCTTTCAAAAGGTCACCAAGTGTTGACTTTTTCGTCAGTTAGAATTTGCACTTCACTGTCTGACAAAATTAACTTGCAGGTAATATTTTTTACATATAAATTAGGTCCTCAAAATCTCGGAAACAAAAGTTTTCAGAAAGCTGTTGCTTTGCTGTTATGATTAATCTCTTCTGAAGTGTACGACATACTGAGGTTTCTTTTTAAATTCTGAGTTCGAGTGCATTATCAGAAGTGCTTTTTTGAATGTGGGACTAAACCTGTGACAGATCGCTTAACAGAAAATGGGCAAAAATTCTACATGCCTAAAAGTGATCAGTAACAGACTTTTTTTTTTTTCAGAAATCCCCCATCGTGAGAGAACCATTATCATCTGCGGTGATAAAAGCGCTGTAAGTTTTAACAAATTAAGCGTTAAGCAGAAAATTTTTTTTACTTAAGCTTATATCGATACTTTAAAAAAATTTTTAGATTTTAAAGTAGAATAAAAATTTTTTTTCTCATTTTTGGGGTAAAAAAAGTTTTTGAAAAGACTTAGTAAGTTTAACTGAAGCGGCTGCAGTAAAGTAGGAAATATCTGTTCGTTTATCTCTGTAAATCTTATGTTCCGTAGGTCGTCTACATTTAGAGGAAGTGCCAATTTGCTGCAGCAATTTCTTCCTGAACTTCGGCGTAGTTGTTCTTTATTAACAACATCTGTATATCACAAAGTTAGTGAGAGGAACGGAACAGAATAGTGCAAGCTTTTTTTATCAAGTCAAAAAACATAGGTTTTTTAACAAAGTGCAACAGTTTTCTTTTTAAACAAACAAGAAGAAAGCTGTTTTTGCCAATTTTAAATTCTGAGTCCTCCTGCTTACTTTTTTTTTGCTTTACGCAACTTTTGTCAGTCTAAAATGCAGTTAACTGGAAGATTTAGGGTAAGACTACGATTATCAACCGCTTCCTGGAAAGAGCTGAGAACTCAAAGCCAACTATTGCGCTGGAATACGCTTACGGAAGGCGAACTCGCGGCACTGTAAACTATTTTTCTTCTGTAGTCTACAAGCAGTTACTGATAATACATTACCAAAAAAAGTGATTCTTGATAACTTGATATAAATTAAGCAAAAAATTAGAAAATTTCGAAATTTTTTTTAGTTAAAAAAAAGATTTGGAAGTCAAGCAGAATCAGCAAATAGTAAATAGACACAATTTCACATGTTATCGTAGAAAGTTACGATAAGCAAATACGTGTATGCTGCACTTTACGCTCGTGTTTTATTAAGCAAATTGATTTCTGGTATTTATCAGTCAAGTGCAATTTGAAGCTAAATTTTGAGCAATGAATTGATCCAAACAAAAAACTGCTTGATCACCAGAGAGCATGTGCGATGCCAAAAATTCAGAACAACACAAAAATATTTTCTTAATTCGTGGTTTGTAGCTGTACAGTTCTATCACTTAAAAACATCTCTGAAAATTGATAAATAAAAAATTATCACAAAAAGTTTGAAAGAATCAAAAAACGCTAAACAATTTTTTTTTGCGAATTGCTATCAAAAATACTTTGCGACCTAACCTTGATTTGTAATATTCATTTTAATCGTTCCGTTTTTAGCAAAAGGATTTAGTGCATATTTGGGAACTTGGTGGTGGTACGTCACTAATAAATCTACTGGAAATACCTTTAAACACTGCGAAATTGGAGTAAGCATTAAAGTTTCGTTTTTTTAACATCTAAGCAAAAGAAAAAGTTAGACAGACTAGAATCTTATTGATTTACAAATGAATAAATTTACCGTATCTATCAACATTAAACACTTTAGGAGTTATACATAATTTAATCGTTTTCAAACAGTGTGAGATTAATTTGCTGAATAAGCGAAATACTTGTTTTAAGAACAACGTCAATAATCATAGTGCTCGATATGTCAAATATTGAGAGTATTTGGAGCACCTTTCACGACCTTATTAAAGTAACCAGAAAGATAATAACAGACATTTCTGATCAAATGAAAATAAAAACTGCTAATCCTTTCCAGCCGCTTCCGGCAATTAGCAATCAGTTTTTAAATCATAAGGTAGGTTTTTTATTCTATCTTTGCTTCACAAAGCTTCTCAAAACCTTAAGTTGAAGAGAATTATGCGGTAAATTTTTACGATAATTTATAATCTATTAAATTAATTTTTGAAAACTGTTTTGTTTCCTCAATCATGCACCAAAAATTATCATAGGATGCGAGTTTGATTAACCTTTTTCCAATTCCACTGATAGTTGTTGGTTCCAAATACGACATATTTCAGGTAAATTATTTGTAAAATCTATCTTCAAAACAGAGCATTATGTGCAGTTTCAGTAAAATTCTAAAGCTCATATTTTTGCAAAAAAATAAAATTATCTCTTCTGTTTTGTAATCCAACTTTTAATTAAGATGTTCTAAAAATTTCTTCTTAAATCTTGAGACTAGTCTACGGTAACAAATTGTTTAGTAAAATTCAAAATTAGGCCTTCAGTGGGTGGAAAAGTGCTTTAAATTAAGATATCTTGTGAGAAATCAGTGCTTTTGAAAAACAAGCATTAAAAGTTTTTACATTTTTTTTTTAATAGCAAATAAATCTTTATTTTACAGAATTATGAACCAGAAACCAAAAAAAATGCTTGCAAGTACCTGCGTTACATGGCTCATAGTAATGGGGCTACTTTACAGGTTGTTCTTTAATCAACTTTCAGGTTTTTCTCCTCGAATTATGTCTGAATAATAGAACACTTTTCTGATGCGCGTCATTATTCGAGTTCAAAACTAGATGTTTTATTGACAAAAGAGTTACATTAACTTCAATCTGAGGAACAAACAGTGCTGAATCATTTTGCAAAGTATCGCATTATGTTAATACTGCACTTAAACGAGCCACGCAAAAGACTGATAGAAGGAAGAATGAATGGACACAAAAAAATAATAAAATCTTTTTG